GCATCCCTATTTAACTGTGAGAAACCTGAAGCAGAGATCACATTAAGTAATAAATTGTTAAAAAGAGTAGGATTTAAGAATAAAAATATTTTAACTCATTTCAACTTTGTATTGGAAATCTTCTCAGAATTGAGCCTCCATTTGTAACTCTTAATTGTAGCATATTTTTTTGAGGAAAATAGCTTTGAAGCTGTCAAAATGATTAGTTAGATAAGTAACACTAGTTCTAGTTTGGTAATAATTTCTGTGATAAAAAGGAAACATCTTAAAACTTTGAATAATGAAATATTTTTACGTTTAAAAAGAATTTAGAATTATTTCTGTCTTTTCTATGATTACTATTCTGCACTTCCCCATGAAAACATCTTTGACTTTACTGATTATGAAAAATAGCAAATCATGTCAAAATGTTATTAAATACAGACATATGAAGTAAGAATTAAGTCCTTTTATTATGTTAAGAAATAGCCATAGTTAAAAGTTGGGGGCACATCTTTATACTTATAAATACATGTATGAATATGTATATTTTTGAATATAAATGCCATTATTTAACATCCTCGTGTTTCTACCTTAGTCCTGCCTCATCGTCTCAGTATGTAGATCTACCATGATTTATTTAATCAGTATACATTTAGATTTATTTATTTTTTTGTTATAGGAAGTAGTACAGTGGACATTTTGTACATGTGTCATTACTTGCCCAGTTATTTCCTTGGGATAAATTCCTGAGAATAAAACTGTTGAGGCAAAAGTATACTATTTTTCAGTATAACTTTCTATTTATAGCTTTTATGAAATTGAACTGTCAGAAATGTGCATCAGTTCATACTCCTGTCAGTAATGGAGAGTGTCCATTTTATCACACTTCCCTAAGATTTATAATTTTAACAGCATCTTTGTAAATCTGGTAGGTGAAAATATTTCATTTCTATTTACATTACTCTGGTTATATATTGGCTTGAACATCTTATCGTATCAATAGAGCAGTGCCATTTAAAAGAATCTGATGACTTTTGATTTGTATCTCCTTCCTTAGAATTATGGTAGCTCTCCAGAGGTGAAAATTGGCAGTTTTAAGTCATGAAATCAGAAGAATAATTGACCATATGGGTATAGAACTTAGCCCCAGATTCGTTTCTTCATCCGCATATCACTTTCTTGAAAATATGGGATAAAATGATCCTTAATAGTTTCTAGCAAGCAAGAGTTGTTAAATAAGTTCCCTATATTAACTCACTGAAACAAAGTACGTATAAAACAATATTTATTTTCCTCATTTACTACATGTATAGTCTGAGTGTTTCTCAGCCTTTTCATTATCGTCTCACAAAGGGCTCTTTTAGATGTTTTTTTCTCTAATTGCCCTCATGATATTTTGATACCACAGATATACTATATATCTGTTTATGTACAGTGGCCCTTTGGAGGGCCGTAAACCGTTATAATAGCTAAGATTATTTTTACCCTCTTAAGAACTGGTTTTCACCGCTTTTGGGGTGATGCTCCCCCATTGAGAATGCATGAGTGTGTGCATGTGTGTTGATATTTGGGGAGGAGGAGCAAAAGCTTTGCTATGCATGAATAGTTACTTCAGTTTCATGAGACTCAGAAGAGATCCATATTTCTGTTACTTTATCAGGTTGTCCAGAGGGAACATTAAGTTTAATAATTGCCACCATTACTTCACCAGTCTATTATCAAACTCTTATCACGTAGTGCCTTGGGGTGCCTAAGTTACTAGAGTATTCTTGGTACAGTATTTCCATTCTTATGAATGTTGATAAATATGGCAAGGACACATCGACATTATTATAGCGTTAAGCATTTTGCTGAATTTAAGAAGAGTAGTCCTAATGCATTAAGAGTAATAGTAAGTGTTTAAAGTTCTATTCCAATGGTTTTCAGACAGTGGTGATTTTGCCTCCCAGAGGACATTTGCAATATCTGAAAATATCTAGGTGTCACAACGGAGGGAGTGGATGTTGCTAGTGGCATCTCATGAGTAAAGACCTGGGATGCTGCTAAACATCTTAAAATACACAGGGCAGTGTCTCCACGCTCACCTCCATAATAATTATCTGGTCCAAAATGTGAACACTGCTCTATCCTAATGATTCTACTTGGAATCTATCTTTAGAAAATAATCCAAAATACAGAAAGTTATATATATACATAAAGATACTCACTGAAGCATTACTTTTATTTTTTTCCTTACAGAAGTGTGTTGTTTTAGAAAACATAAATATAAATGAAAAATATATACATAATTAATTACAGTTCCCCTCGCAAGTAATGTTTTGGGCACTTTGGTTATATGTATTATTTTAAGTGAGACATGTATCAGTATAGTACATAATTATGAAAAATGGGAAATAAACTTAATTCTTTGAGACTTAGGAGGAGATTTATTTGTCCATGTCAGGGGTACATCAGTTTCAGGAACACCAAAGAATTGGAAACTACTTTAGAGATAGTTAACTTTCTCATTTTAGGAATTCTTTATATAATATCCTTCATTCTCTCTACTTGTTCACTTAAATATTTTACTCTGAATAAGTGTTCTCAAATGCCTCTTATAGTACCATAGACTAAAAAAGTACAGGCGGTTTTTTTCAATGAAAAAACTTTAGTTTTTTAGTTTTTAGTTTTAGTTAACTTTTAGTTCTGTGTGCTGGTAGCGGTAAATGAAAGCCTCATCCCTGGGGATATTCTTTTATTTATTTATTTTTTTCTGTGATTTAATATGGAAGAACAAATGGTAAAAAATTGAAGTAGTCATATGTCTATCAATAGAGAATGGAGATTTGGCATTTTTCACACAGTGGAGTACTGTGCAACACTTAAAGTTAATGTATTTAATCTATATGTATCATAAATAAATCTCTAAAGCATAACTTAAATAAAGAAAGCAAAGCACAGGATTTTTAGAATATGATAACATTGAAATAAATGTTAATTTCACACAAGATACTATACTGTTTATAGATATGTGTATATATGTGTATATAAAATATAAAACCATGAATGGCAAGAATACACACTCAACCTCAAGACAGTAGTTACCTCTGATGATAGAAAGGGAATTGGATCAAGGAACAGTACAAAGGATCATTATCCATATCCATAACTTTTTATTTCTTAAAAGAAAAAAAAAATCTCAAATAAATATGGCAATATGCAAGTTGGTTAAATCTGAATGTAAGTACATTGAGTAGTCTTTATATTCTCTTTTTGTTTTTGAAATGTTGCAAGATCACATTTTTGAAAAGTAAATGTACTTTTCAAATTTGTTCATGTTTGAAGTGAAGCCAAATATAGAAAGATTTTTAAAATACTCATAATTTAGCAATGTGTATATAATAAAACAGTAATGAATGACTTCCTTATAACCACAAGTAGTTAACTACAGCAAATAAAATGATCTCCAAGGGCTTTTCTCTCTTGTTTTTGGAATGTTGAGTACTTTCTGAAGGTATTTAGGGTCTATTGAATGTTAAGAAATGGGAATGGTTCTTGAAATTACTCAAGCAATGATGGGATGATTGAGTATGATTTACAGTTCTATAAGATGACAAGTTCATAATTTTTTCTCCTGTAACTTAACATGGAAAAATAAATATATTTAGAAAGAAACAATGTTATGCATTAAGATTTAAAAATCAGTTTATTTCTTACTAAGAGAGGAATGTAGTGTCTCTCAGCCTGTCAATGGTGATATTATGCTGTGCCTGTTTCACAGGTAACAAACATTGCAAGGTATTTTCTTTTGGAAGAATTATTTATTTAAAACCAGTAACTGTTGTATTTACATTCAGATTTTTAAGGTTTTTTTTCTGGGATTTTAGACATCTCATTTAAAAATTAGTGAAGGGTGCTATACAACTTTATCCTATCAAAAAAGTATGAAACTTAACACGATTGTTTCTTGTATAAGTGGCACTATCAACCTAAGCATAATCAAGGATATTTTTCTCTAGTTACTGCCAAAAACTGTTTTGTTATTAAAGAAAACATCCTTAACCAGATCTGTGATAACTTACCCTAATAGAAGAATTTTTACTTGATTTTATGGTCATTGTGTTCTGATAAAAATTTAATTATATAGACGTTTGGTGGGAGATACTCAATTGTGTTAACTGAAAATTTAATTATATAGACGTTTGGCGGGGGAGCATGTTTGCTAAGGCATAGATTTGTATGAGTATGCTATTGGCTATTAACTTGCCAGTAGATTGTTAGAAATTTCTTTTAAGTAAGGAAAAAATGTGTAAAACTATCATGTAGTAAAGACATTTAAATTTATGTAATGATTCAATATTTTGAGCATTAAATATTTTTGAAAGTAATGGTATATAGTGTCACCAAATTTAGACATGTTAAATAGAAAACATACGGTCATTTTTCTAAAAACAGACGTTTAGTGAATTACTACTGCTGTTGGTCCTGTACCAAACCAAAATTTAGACCTGAAAGCACAGGGACTCTAGTTTAGAGTGCACTCTGCTTAGCAACCAACGTGTTGTCTACTGTTTTGCTACTGAATGCACGTACTCATGGCTCAGAAGTGTATATGCAGCCAGCTGGTCTCAACCAGACAATACTTCATTCACCTAATTTCCAGACTAATCGGGAAAAGACATCAGCTTATTGTTTTTAGTCATGAGGAAATTTATTTGTAAACTTCAAGTAGTAGCACACTGATATCAAAAGCCCCCTGAGAAATTTCCTTCTAATTCAGGAACGTGAAATCCTTGGAATTATGAACTGCTTCACTTAATTTTTTTTTGTCTTTAAAAATCCTTGCAAGTATATTGTTTTAAAATTTTGGCCTCTAAAATCCTAGAAAAGTGATAATAAATAGCTCTTAGTAGAAACAAAGTAGATTAAAATCTAAATACTTTAGAATTATTATCTGAAAACAAAAATTTAGGAAATTTGCTTTGTGTTCACACTTTTATTTTCTACCTTGATCCTCACATGATTATTTCCTCTCTTAGAAAACAGCAGTTTTGTTGGCATGTGAAACTGCAATTTCCGCAGAGTCAAGCTGTATACGTAGAGAAAAGGTAAAGTATCACCACTGTCTATTAAGAATTAATTTGTTTTTATTATGTCTCTATATTTAAAGTAAATTGTTAAATGTAATCTCAATAAATGTATGTCAATATTAGAATGGATAAGTTGTGGTATATTGATACTATGAAATGCTAAACATCACTGAAAATGAATGACATACAAGCTACACCCATCAATGTGGATAAATCTTAAAAATAATGCTGACTGAGAAAATCAAGTTATGAAGACTTCATAGACTTTGATTCTGTTCGCAAATATGAAAAAAAAAAGTGTACTTTTTAGGAATACCTACAGAAGTGGTAAAACTAAGGGAAATGATTAGCACAGGAATCGTGGTGGTGTTCACTCCAGCAAGGGAAGCAGGCATTAAGGAGAGAGATGTAGGGAGAATGAAGAAGGCTGGAAACTGTCTATTTCTTAAGCTGACTGATTATATAGGAAGTGAAAAATGATCCACAATTTTACTCTACAGAGATTACTACTATAAACATCATAGTACATCCCTCAGAAAATATATTATTGTATGCATGTACATAGGTATACTTATAATTGGAATTAATTTGCATTACTACTAATTTTACTCTACAGAGATTACTACTATAAACATCATAGTACATCCCTCAGAAAATATATTATTGTATGCATGTACATAGGTATACTTATAATTGGAATTAATTCGCATAAATAGTTTCTTACCCTTTTATGAACATTTTCAAATGCCATTTAAAAATTTTAATAGTTGTGTTTTGATTCCTTGGGTTAGGAAAATTTTAAAGTTGCCTTTTAAGTAATATTTTTAGCATATATCTACATTATAGATAAATGTCCTCTGTAATTGTCATGGAATTTAGTGAAAAACTTTCTTATTCGAAGGTACATACAAGATTAAAGACAGGAGAAGGACTTAAATTTTACAGATAGGACTGTATTACACAGTAGTATATATGAATATGTATAAATGACTGAGGTAAGTTACTAGTTCAAAACAGTGTCTTAATTTTGTTTCTCAGCTTTATAGTTTAAAAAACAATGTGCATACATATAGGAAAATCAGAAAACTTACCATGCTTCGTCTCAGTAGTATCAAATTTGTAACCTGGTTTTATGATTTAGAATGAGTAGACTTGAACATGCACTGAAATTAGCATAATCTGAAACCTTTTTTTCATATTTTTTATTTCTGCAGCTTTCAAATATATTTCATCCTGACATTTCTTTTCATCTTTGAGCACAGGTGTGCGTTGAAAGAGGCATCATACTTTTTTTTCATACTTTTATAATTAATTTATAGGGAGCGTCTCAAAATACTATTTTTTAAGACTTTAAGTGTCTCCAAGAAGTCTTTTTGAGCTATTTTTCTAAGTAATTTTTGCTTAACAGGACATTATATATTGTCAAAAGTAAAATAAAAACATGGTCTGTATTCGGCTAAAAAAAAAGCCACAAGATTTAGTAATTCTAAGTTAATACCTCTAGTAGAAAATTATAAATGATAATATGTTTTATTTTCATTTTTCCTTTGTTGGGAAGAGTGCCAGATGATAAAACTATTAATGAAATCCTAAGAGCTTACATTGATCCTGAGAAGTCTGATCCTGTAATTCGTCAAAGGTATGTTTTTTTAAAATTGTAACTTTCTAAAATTATTAAAAATGTTGTATTTGCTATGTGCATATTTATTATGTAAAGTCATGACTTTATTGGAATGTTATGTGTCAGTGCCATTTACTTTCTGTCCCATTTCCTTTGTTTTTACTGAAGGCTTTGTCAGTTGGAGACGATGCTTTTGGATAGTAATAACCATAGTTAGCACTTACCCTTTATTGTGTTCCAGACTGTCTTTGAATTAGATACTAATAAATGTATTCATTTAATCCTCACATTGAGGTAAATTACTGCCATTATACCCATTTTACAGATGGGGAAACTGAGCCTTAAAATGATTAAGTGACTTCATAGAGCTGATAATCAGGGAAGCTAGGATTTAAACCCAGGCAGTCTGAAGTCAGCCTCTGCACTTTTAACCCTTAAACTAAAATGCCTTTCAAGTTGAAGCAAAAACTGAAAATGAGGAGTTTCAGAGTAACTGTTAAAGACAGGAAATCCTGTTTCAGCCAAGTCTCCATAAAACTAAGTAAGATATACTCTGTTTCCTATCCAGAAATACAGCATGAACAGAAATGATTAACATAGCATGGTGGAGTCAGCAATAAATGTCTAGGTTAGAATAGCTACATCTTTCCATTATTAGCTGTGTGATTAGGAGCAAGTTACTTCTGGGCCTTAATTTTTCTCCATCATAAAAATGAGATTAATAATATCTACTAGATAGGGTTGTTTTGAAGCTTTAAAAAATCGCATATATAAAGTTCTTAGTGTAGGACCTAGCACATAGTAGGCAGTGCTTAAAAAAGGAAACTATTATCAGAGTATGAATTATTAGTGTTCCTGGACAGAAACCCAGTTGCCTTTCTTTTCACTAGATGGTACCTGCTTGGGATATGAATGGTTGGTTTGGTTCCAGAGTAACCTGATATTTACAATTTACGCCGAGTGGATTCTAAAGTGTCTGATCCAATTGTAGTTAAATCTCATCATCTACTTTTGATAAAAGGTAGCACCCAGACCAAATCAGATTAATGTCACATATCAAACAATGTCTTGGGCCAGGCATAATAGACAAATGTCTTTCTTCCTAATTACTGATAATCCAGTTATCATTGGTTATATATTTGGTAATAAAACAAAATGACTGTCACTAAATTAGATACATTAAAAAAATTAAATTGCAAGATTACTGAAATGAGTGTTTCTTAATTTAACTTAATTACACAGAGAGAAGGAAGGTAATTTTTTAAAATTCAGATCCTTGGTTAGAAAATATCTTTAACCCTTTTTCTATGCTTATATAGATGAATTTTAAGTATTATTAGCTACTCATAAATGCTTAGTCTTCCATAGACACTATTTTGAAATATATTAAAAATCAATTTTGCTTCTTTCAATGTAACATTTTTATTTCAGGTTGAAAGCCTACATTCGTTCTCAGACAGGGGTCCAGGTTTTAATGAAGGTCGAATATATGCAACAAAATTTAGTAAGGTAAAATTGCTTCCCTCCCCATTTCTTTAAATATTTTTAAATTCTGCAATATAATTAAGTGGCTCGATTAGCTTAAGTAGCTAGTTATTTCACTAATTATCTGGCTATTAACAAAGCCGAGGCTTTTAAAAATGACTTTCATATTAAAATTTTTAAATAATCACACATAGAATATTTTCTGTTGAAAAATCACTTAGTTAGAATATTTTAAAATAATAACATGTGCAACTAAGAGCTTTCTAAGTTGCATTTTAACTTATTTCAAGAAATATTCTCTGCAACAGAGTTCCAGTTGTTCCAGAATTCCAGTGTTCAACTTGTTGCTTTTAGAAATGCAAAAATTCATGTCACCAACTGATCACTGAGTATATTGCAGTGGAAAGAATACTGTATAGAAATGTGAAGGGAGACAGGTTCTAACAGTTTGATTTGAGAAAATTCTTAAATCACCAGACTCTGTTCCTTATAATGGAATGATGAGAAGACAACATAAACGATTTCTGAGAGTCCCTGCGAAGTTTGCTTAAGTGCCAGTTATGTCAGCCTACTGAATTACAAAACACTGATCTTTTAAGACCTGTAATTCTCGTCCCCTGTTTTCATTGTTTAATTAACAAAACTACTATATCTTATTCAGACTAATTCTGATTGGCCTTGTCTGTAATTTGATTTGCTAGTATGGCTTAGTCCAAACTGAAAGCAGAGCTAGGATTGAACCCTGCTCCCAATTATGTTAACTTGAGTAAATTACAAAACCTCACTTGCTGTAGTTTTCTCATGTCCAACATGGGGATGGTAATAATAATTATGATTGTCATGAGAAATTAAGATAATTCATTTAGCACATGCTTTTATTATTCCTACCATGACTATTATTATTGCTACTACTACAGATAAATGGATTCTTACAGAAGGTCTACACATAAGATTGCAAGACATTCATAGCTAAGAATGAATCTAAACAGCAAATATTGATCACTTTTCTTACCAACATATCTCAAATATTCCCAGATTTATATTATTATCATAGTTCATTGATGAAAATTTTGAGTTTTCTGTCACGTCGTCTTTTTCCTAGACTTATTAATTCAGTGTACTTACATGTAGTTCATACTTTAACTCCACTCTTTGCCCCAATAGATTTGGGGTCCCAAATAAGGGAAGGATAGTAAGTTCTGTGGTTTCTGCAAAGATAGTTATCCAGAGTAATAACATCCATATTACCCAAATTCAGTGATTTCTGAAATTGGCAATCATTTAGGTAATTAATGAGAAATACCGATGTAAAAGGTGCCCTTTTTTGTGTTTTGTTTAGCAAAGTCCTAAAGTGAATTCCATATAACTCATGTTTAAACAAAACAATTTGCATTGCTCCCTTGTATTTACCTCTGATCAATCAATAATTCATTCTTCCTTCTTCCAAATTCAGTTCCTTTCTAAGTATGCACCATATTTTATCTAGTTAGTTCATGTAAATATTTTATCTAGTTAGTCCACATTTCATACTGTGGTGCATACTTGATGCGTATACTATGGCTTAGTCTCATAAGCCTGCTAAGAGAACACACCTGAGAGTCTTTATGAAAAGTGGATTTGTTTTGGATAGTTGTATCATCCCAACTTCTCTAGGCCATGGAACTAACATACCCTCTCCAAGGCTTCTCTTGACAACTTCGTGACATGTCCAACAATCTAACACTTCAGCACCATTCTGAGCATTTGCCAACCCCTTGTTAAAGACTGCTGGTGTGGGGAAAATATATAAATGGCTCCAGGAGGACTGGAAGGCAGACAGTAAAAGCTACTATCCATTTCGGTTCAGGAAATTCTTATTCTTAAATGCAGTAGGAGAATAAAACATTGCCTCATTGTTTGCTTGGTATGTGCTTATCTGACCTTGAATAATTGCAAATAGTAGCCACCAACTACTGTTTTAATAGCTGTGTGAATGGGACTATTTTATTTTTTAACTTTTTTCCCATTTACCCTGAGATAATTCGCAGATTATAGTCCTGACCTTACCCCCAAAGTTTGCCATAAAATATCTCACTTTTATTATGATTTTCTCATCACTCTAGTATATTGATAGTCTTTGGAAAGAAATGACATCATTCTATTTATAGCATTCTGTTTATAGTAGTTCGATCGCTGAAAATGTCAAATCTTAGAAAATATAGCATCCCTACATGAGCTACACTTTATATTTTCTAAACGGGAAAAGAGCTAAAGTAATAAGTATATATTTGAAACACCAGATAGCTTATATAAAGTTAAATAAAAATATTTATTTGGATGAGTTTGGCATCAACTTGACCCCACAGTCACCTTATTTACCTAATCTATTAGCCAGATAATTAAGCTTCTTTACCAAAATTAGGGAAAGCAACCTTTCATTTTGGTACAACTGCTAAGAACAAAAGTTTTTGATTTTTTGTTTTGGTTTGTTATGGATGTTTGTTTGTTTCTATTTTTATTTCCTTCATTACCTGAAAGAGACAGTTTGTTATATTTCCATTTTAAGTCGAGGCAAACTGGGCTGTGGCCAATGAGGAAATGTGCCAGCTCACTAAACCAGTTAAACATGACTCTTCTGCAAAATATCATCTTGCAAAATTCAAGAAAACCAAAATTGTATGTGATAAAAGGTAAAGATAGGATACTGAGTATTTTAAAGTCTATAATAGAGGACAGACTACTTGGGCCCAGATAGCATTCATTTTTAACATGGAAATGTGTACTATAAATTCATGAAGAGGCAGAGGAGATGGAGATCTCAGCTTGTCTTAGCAGACTTGGTTTTCTAGGAGTGTGGCAGAAATTCATGACATGATCCAGAGGGAGAAGTCGGGAAAATCATTTCATGCAGTTGCAAAGAAAGAAGCCAAGATACATAAAGACCAGAACACAGGAAGGTACCAGTCAGATTGGTATGACTTATTTTAACAAAGAGCCAAAGAGGGTAAACCTGAACCAAAAAAAAAGATCAGAGAAATGCACTGAAATGAAGGTCAGATGTTCTCATTCTAGGCACTCAGCTTCTCTGTGCTTCATTTTCCTTAGGCCCTTTACTTTCTTTTATTTTATAACCTCTCATCTTTAGGTACCCAGAGAGGACTAAAGCTGGGCCTTAGGTTAATCTTTATCCCCAAAGAGGAGGGAATGATAAATGAATGAGTAAAAGGTGAGTGGTATAACTTTAAGGAACACCTAGAGTAGGCTCTTTTGGTACTAAACCTGAACCAGAGAGAATAACATGAAAAGTACTTTGACATTATCTATGTAGAAAACCTATCCTTGAGATTTCTGCATTTGAGTTGTTTACTTGAACTCAATGTGATATATGAAAATACCAAAGAAGAGGAAGTAGAAGGTTACAACCCAGGACCAGGAATTTTGGATTTAAAAATTGCCACCCTATTTAACTTTGAGTAGCGATGGAATCACTTTAAGGAAACTGCAGTTGAGGTAGCTTTTATCTTGAAGGTGGGCCTAAGGTTTGGGTAAGGTACATCCTTATATTTCTGATTAAGTCAGCCTCAAGATATAGTTATCCTAACTTCTACAAAACTTCCCAGTGTTACAAGTATTTTCTAATTATAAATAATGAAATTAGATATTATGGGGGTATATTTAGACATAGATTTTTATTTTTTTAATTAAATATTTTAAACCACACTGTTCTTTAGATAATACATTCATAGGTAGGCTAGGATGAGCATTTACATCTGATTATATACTTAATTACAGTTATACCATTAAACGAAAGTACATTCAGAAAACATCTAAGTAAGATTATTATAGGTTATAAAATGTTAGGTTTCTAATTTAAGATAATCATGCTAAATAGGAAGATTTTATTATTTCTTGAAAAGTGCTTAGAAGGCAGAAACATGAAGTTTCCTTGTGCTTGTTTGATTTTAAATGTAGCCTACGATTTACAGTGACTTAAGAGTAAAGTCTTTTTACCAAATACTTGATGTTGCCAATTTTCAACTGGTCGTGTTTTCCATTCTTTGAGGGCTTATTACAATTGTCTCAAGATATACCTAATCAGCTAGAGCCATCTTAAATGTTTCCAGGATTTAGCTTTGCCCTACACAACTTTTATATTTAGATTTCGGTGATCATGAACATATGTCTAACACTAAGCTCAGCACCAATCCTGCTAATCTATTTGGGAGTTTTCTTTCCAGAATACACAAGGTTTTAATTTGCATCTTCTTATGAAAGCTAATATGGCTTCTTAAGTAAAATCATTTATTCATTCAGCAAACCTGTGGTGGGTCCCCGCTATGATCGAGGTACTGTTATAGACGTTAGGGTAATATCGGTAAGGAAAACCGTTCCTGCCCCTATGGAGCTTACATTCCCTGTGGGGGAGAAGTCATATAAGGTGCTTGTATTAGCAAAGCCTCACTTGCCCTCTTGCCACATCATCTCTTACCAGCTTTCTATTCTCAGAAAGTAAATGAATGGTTTTAAACCAGAGAAGCCTGTAGTGATGATGTCAGGCACTATCAGAGGCAGCCATTGTATTGCTGCTCACTTGAGTTATTATTGACAGATGAATTTAGAATTATTCCCAGCTTTGATACTGTTCATTCATTCATAATTTCCCAAACTTATTAAATTTTATGTCTGTTATACTTTAATTTATTAATGGAATTATCTATTTTCATAAAGAAGTTGAAATACATTTTCTGTTTTTTATGTTTGCTACTTTGATGTTTATATAAGATCCTGGTTTTGATAAGGGTGTGGTTTAAGCTTTTGTGAGATTTCTTTTCAAATTTACTCAGAAACCATTAATTAAGCACATTTAATCTTCTATGCATATAAATAAAATTTAGAGTTTTTACAAGAGTTAATAGGGTACAGTGCTGTTGTAGTAGGGAAAACAGATGCGAACCATAGGTGACTGAGGTTCCTGGCATAGATCTGTCTACTGAGATATGGAGGTATGTCCTGAAGAGGCTTTAGGGCATGTTGAGTTTCACATA